ATATAGTAGAGTGCTATATGAATGGGTAAATGAGGACACAGATTGTAGTGTAAAGTGCTTTGAGTATCTTATTAAGAAAGGTGCTACATAAGTGCAGTCCATTCCATTTACAAATACAGGGTGGCCAGAGGGTCTGCAGTTTTGGTGGGGGCAGAAGCAAAAACTCAGGCATGGGATAATTTCGGGGAGGCAATGGAGAAGGACTTTCAGTCAGCCTCGAGGAAGTTCTGACAAACGGTTTGGCTACTCATTAATGGAAAGCAGACCCTATCCCAGGCTGTGCTTGGTTTGGGTGGGGAACTGCTGACCCAAACTGAGAGCATTGTTGAGTGGTGGAAGGAGCACTTCAAGGAGCTCCATAATCCACCCACCATGTCCACCTTTGAGGAGGCAGAGTTTGAGGACTCAGGGGAAGACAAGTCCATTACCATGTCAGAGGACACCGAGTTAGTCTGAGCTCCATGGTGGAAGGGTGCCAGGGGTGGTTGAGATTTGCCCTGAAATGCTGAAGACTCTGGATGTTGTGAGGCTGCCATGGTTGACAAATCTTTCAATGTTGCATGGAGGACTGGGACAATGCCTGTGGAATGGTAGACTGGGGTGGTGGTTCCCATTTTAAAAAAGGGGGACTGGAGAGTGTGTTCCAACTATTGTGGGATCACACTTCTCGCTCTCCCAGGACAGTTTACTCCAGGGTGTTGGAAGGAAGGCTCTGACCATTTGTCAAACCTCGGATTCAGGTGGAGCAGGTAGCTTTTGTCCTGGTTGTGTAACAGTGGACCAGATTGTTACACTTGCTGAGTTGATAAGGAGGTAATGGGAGTTTGCTTCTCCATTCTACGTGTTTTGTGGATTTGGAAAAGGCTTATGATTGTGAGCATCATGTGAGCAGCTGGTTTTGGCTGTCAGCAGCAAAATGGTTGATCCACTATGAGAATGTGCTATTTATAAGACTGAGCTGAACACAGCACCTCAGACTAAAGAAATCTTTCGGATGAAAGACAAAATATTTCTAAAAAAAATGTTTGTTTTGTTTTGCTTTTTGAATGTCCAGAGGACCGGACTTAACTTTTTTAGACTTTTCTACCTGGATTATTGAGCATGCATTAGGATGCTTATGATTGTGTTCCTTGAGGAATTCCGTGGGGGGTGCTGTGGGAGTTTGGGGTGCCTGGGTTATTTTTAAGAGCTATCCAGTCCCTGTATAACTAAAGCAAGAGCCATGTCCACATTCTTGGCACAATGTGGGGGCAGCTGTATTGCAGTGGTAGGGCAGCCGACGGGACCAGAAAGTCACAGATCACCTCCATCACCATGCTCACATGTCCTGGTGAGGACTCCTCCACCTGAGACTTTGCCTCAGGTAGAGAAGTTGAAGTATCTGGGCATCTTGTTCACAAGTGATAATAAGATGGAACGGGAGATGGATTGATGGATTAGGGACGCATGTTCAATAATGAGGGCATTGCTGTGGTCAGTTGTGCTGACAAAAGAGCTGAGTAGAAAGGAAAGGCTCTCGATTTACTGGTCTATTTACATTCCAACCCTCACCTATGGTCATGAGGTTTGGATCATGACGGTGCGGTGGAAGTGGTCTCCAGCTACAAGTACTTGGGTGTACACATGA